TTTTTCTTACTTTCTTTCTTTTTTTCTCTTAGGGTTAGTAAAAATGTGTGTTCTTTCTGGGTGGTGTTTTTTTTTTTCGGTGTGTGAGAGGCATTTTGCTGCAGCGGGGGTTATTCTCAGTAGCGGCTGCGCTGGAGAAGATAAATGACTGTACCTGCGCAGCAATCACTCCTGACATCTGAGCCGACTTTGGGTTTTACTCTGAAAATTTCTACAAGGATGCAAAATGCAACTGAACAATGAAAACAGCCTCAGCTCTGGTTCACATGTGGTCCAGAGGGTTCACCCCTGGGCTCATCTGTACGGCCACGGCACCGTGATCGGACCGTGGCACCTTTTCCGATAAAGTCGGGACAAATCTCCTGCGGAGCTTATTGTGCCCACGGCCAGCGCAAGCCACGCTGTGCATGGCTCCCCGGGCTGCGGTGAAGCTCAGATTTGCCTTTCATAGGCACACAGAGAGACCCCCAAGCACGGCTCCTTGAGGCAGAGGCTAACCTGAGTGGAATGAGACGATTTGCCCTTAGCGGAAAAATATTTTCCTTATTAGGATGATACATTGTGTGGTGAATGTAGGGCAAAGCCCCTCGTCGCAGCCGGAGCTCTCGGGGCAGGCTCTGTCCCTGCAGGGTGCCGGGCAGTGGAGGGCTCTGATTTACCCCACGGCCCCACGCGCGGGTGGCCGGCATGGCCGGGGCATGGCCGGGGAGCCACTGCCAGCACAGCAGCCCTGACCACGGCACGGTGCTGCCGGAGATGGGGCAAGGGCTGCGGGCAACCAGCACGTCTTGCAGCGGGGAGGGAGTACTTTCCTCCCCAGCACTTCCCAAAATGTTTGCAGAAGCGCAGCCTGCCCTGTGGCCAGCAGGACGGCCTTCCCCACGGCGGCTGCTTACTGGAGACCACTGGGGCTTTCAAATCCCAAGAGGATTTTATGCTCTTTTTAGTGGTTTTAGGGGGGTTTTTATTGTTGGTGGTGATGATGATGCTTGTTTTCTTTTTCTTCCCCTCCCAAAAACTCCTAATAAACTAGGAAATTCCCATCATGGGACATTCAGGGTACTACTGAAAAATACTGAAGCCAAGAAATGTCAAGGTTAAGATTACAGTTAAGCTAAACTTAAGTTTCTCATAGCTGCTAAAGCTCAACCAATTCTTTAATTGCATAATATTTATAATGTTTTACAACACAGTGGCATTAAACTCAGTACTAATCTATGTACTCATGTACGGTGAGTCATTTGTATAGAAATTACACAGTAAATGATATTGCCATGAATTACTACAAGTTGAAGGTACCTAGCAAGAGTAATAGTGAAAACTTGCTAACAACCATCTGTTAATGGAGATACTTTTGTCGCTTGGGGGTTTATATCACACGAAGGGAAAGGTCTGCTAACGAGAGAATAACTGCTGAGTAAATTGTAAAAAATATTCCTTAGTAAGATGGGGATTTTCTACGTGCACATCTGTCAAGAGTTAAGCTAATCAAACTTGCGTGGGGCTCAAATGTTCTTGAGCTGTTTCATCATGAGGATGAAAATACCCAATGGCTGTGACATTAGAGAAGAGTTATCCCTACAGAAATCCTGAGCCCACGCCAGCGAGCGGAATCAGGGCTATCCTTTTGCCTTCCTAATGCACTGCATGAAACACATCAGCGACTGAGATAAATACTGGTCACCCTGAAGTCAGGGGACACTGTGGCACTGATGGTGGAAAAGCTGACGCCTTGCCCACGAACGGCTCTCGTCTGCCCTCGTTATGCTCTCTCGCTTGAGAGTGTTATCTCCACAGATTAACACCATCAAGGAAATAAATCTGGGATGAAGCCGGGCAAAATGCCATCGCCTTCCAGCCAGGTGCCCGCACCGCATCAGGCTGCTCGCCAGTGCCAGCGCTTGGCGATGACAGCCGGGGCGTTTTGCCATGCAAATTCACACCCGGGACTTTCTCCATGCAGTCAAACACCCCCCGTACAATCCCTCCTGTCCCTCAGGCTCTGCGCTCACACAAGCGCTAAAAGCAGAGCTGCAGATCCCAGAAGGGGACTTACGTGCGGATAGCCCAGCAGCGCCGGCCCCGCCGCCAACAGAAACCCTGGGGACGGGGTGCTTCTCGTGGGAGCCCATGGGAGTGGGAAGGCATCGCTGTGCCAAAGGGGGGCCTGGGTAAAGGAGGGTCTGGGGGGGCTCAGCCCCTGAGCAGAGGGGGAGGTCCTTCCCAGGGGACAGGTGCAGAGCGGGTCCTGCGCAGCCACAGGAGAGATGCCCCAAGTGGCACCACCAGCCTTGAAAACAGGCGGAGGAGCCCAAAGGTCCAAGTGACAACGGTGTCCAGGGACTTGGGAATAAGGAGGAGGGAAAACAATGCTCTCTGCCTGATTTTATTTTTCTTTTTGCAATGCAGAAGAAAGGAAGTGGGTTCTTCTTTTGTGCAAAACATGCTCCTGCCCTGCGTGCAGCAGGTGCTGTGCTACAGGAGTGCAACCCAGCTCCACCCGTTTGCACGGCTCCGGCGGCCCCACCAAGCCCAGTGATGCTGCACCGCACTGCAACGGCCCCTTTCAGATGGGGGCACCCCTTTCCCAGCTGGTGGGACCCCTCTCCCTGCCTCTGCAACGCTGGGTTAGCTGAAAAGGGGCCCCGCTCAGGCAGCGTCGGGAAGCCCTGTCCACCCTAGTTTGCAGCCCCCTCATTTAAGAGATATTGCCCTTTACTGAACCCAGCGGTTGGATGAAACATGGTGTAGGACTTGGGGTGTGAAGTTCAGCTTCAAAGCTGGGTCCAGGTTTTCTTCTGCTGTGTCTGTGTTTGCACAAAGCCACTTTTCCTTGGGCCCGGCAGGGAGCAAGCGAAGGGTCCTGCAGCCCGGGTGCCCATCCCAGGGTGAGTGGGAGCTGCTGTCCCAGGGTGGCCCTGCTGCCAGAGACCCGGCCAGGGCGTGGGGGACACCTCTGGGGGGAGTCCTGTGCAAACACTCAGCGTGGAGGGTCTCTTTCCTGAGACGTGCATCATGGCCATTGGCCACAACACAGCCCCAGCCGGGTCCCCGCCAGGCGGCTGCCCTGCACTGCTTGCCTGGAGGTCTGTGCCGCCCTTCCCAGAGCCAGCGGTTGGGTATTTCGGGGTAGACACGCGCCTCTGAGTCACGGCAGCTCTCTCGCATCATCCTCAGAGAGGACATCGCGCTCTGCCGTCCCGTGAAGGCTCCCTGCAGCCCCATCTCCCTCCTGGAGGCCTTTGCATGGACGTTTCATCCTGGCCCAGCAGAAAAGCCAGCCCGCAGCTCCTCCAGGGTCAGGTCCTTCAGGCCATCAGCCATGAGCCTAGCCATGGCGGTGGGTGTGACCAGTGAGGAAGGCTTGCACAGAGCCCTCAGAGCCGCGCTAGGCAGGCGTTCGCCCTCGCAGGTGCTGGGAGAGCTGGCACCGGGGCTTGCTCCAGAGCTTCACCTTCGGGTGCAAAGCCACGCTCAGGGGTGCTGAGGCTGTTGTTTACACTTGGTGGGGTTTCCCAGAGTTGAGAGATGATTTGGAGCTGGACTTTCTGAAGGCAGAGCAGCATAACAAATGAGGTAACAGCCCCTTCACGGAGAGACGGCAGGAAGTTTGCGCCTCCTCTTTCCATTGTATCATCACCTCTCCCTCTTTCCTTTCCCCGTCGACTTCAGTTACCTTTTCTCTCTTCTAGTGCAAAACATTTTCAGGAAGCTTTGAGTTTAGACACAAAAATTTCAAATCCAGGTGCTTTTGGTTTCAGTGGAAGGGGCAGGGATTTTCCGCAGCTCAGCCCCTGGGTCTCAGGCCACCTCTAGTCATCTGGTGGTAGAGCAGAAATTAGGAGAACATCTGATTTGAGCATCCT